GTGGAGCGCGTCAGGGGGGCAGCAATCGCTACTCGGGGACTGGCTAAGCGTTGGTCGGCAGGTGGTGAGCGGTTGCATCACTTGTGTTTCCTGGGTTTTGTTTCTCTCTTTCTGTTGTTTTCCTTTTCATTAAAATTTATTATTATTATTATTATTGTTGTTATTATTTTATTTTATTTTATTTTAATCGTTAAACTGTTCTTATCTCCACCCACAAGTTTTCTTATTTTTGCCTTTCTGATTCTCTCCCCCATCCCACCAGGGGTGGGGGGAGGGTGAGCAAGCAGCGGTGTGGTGCATGGTTGCCGACTGCGGTTAAACCATGACAGAGCTTTTTCAGAAAGGGTCTCATTTCTTCATGATTACACAAATGGCATAGTGAATCCTGAGAACACGGGAATTTTGGTTCCCAATTTGAGACTTCATTTGGTAGTCAGTATATGATCCATAGTGCTTTGTCTCCGTCAGAGAAAGAAATCTGACCAATGAACACAACTATTTCATTACTATTATATTACTAATGTGATGGAAACATTCCTTCAGAATGAATGAATATTAATTATTCATTTACAGTTACACTCCTTTTGGTCTTGAAAGACAAAAGGAAAAAAATGGCAGAACTAGAAGTCATAGAGGGATACTGAAACATACCTATGATCAGTGCTTTTTCTTAGTTGCATTTACATTGTACAGGGAAAAACATGAACTGTGTGCATATACTGAATAACACTGATTTTAGATTAGCTTTTAATATACTTAGTTTTCAGGAATAGTCAGTTTTTTAATTCTACTATCAAAAATCTAAAGATCACCATATCTTTAATGAGGAAAGTAGACATGCAAACTAGATTGTCTTTAATGGTAATCACACCTCTTTTCTTTTGTTTTCTTTTTGGTCAACCCATCCGTTTTGATGAAAGTATTTTGAGGGAGTTCTTGATGGAAATGAAATCAGTGAATCATTGCAGCATAGCAATGGCTTGAGATGTACAGGACCTATAGACGGGACTTTGCCTCAAATCTACAGTACAAATTTAAGGGTAAACTATGAAGAAGATGTCCCATTTGTCATAATGTGATATCCAATCATTAACAGAGGCCCTGTCCTTTTGTCTGAAATAATGTCGTCCCATGTGAACTCCATATACCCTCATTGCTACCTGTATGTGATGACGTGAAATGTTGATAAAGGTATCTGTCTTGTTAATTTCATAATCCATTTTGATCTGTTTAAATCTGGATTAAAACATAGTATTAAGATTTTACTTTCTGCAACTTCAAAGGAACAGTGACATCAGTTCAAGGAGAAATCAGTTGCTACCAGATCAGCATTTAAACCAAGCTGTTTGTAGTGCAAAACAATTCAATAACACTTTTCTTCTCAAAAATGAACAGTAAAAAATATAGTTTTCAAATAACCAAAGTCAAGGCTTCAAATAATTCTTCAAGCTGTTACTACAACCTGCAGTCAAAAGGCTATAGAGATATTTTCAGCCATATGACTCCTCAAGAGAAAGGTATTATTAAATATATGGACAGAAAAAAACGTAGTCACACAGCTTTCTAATACTTTATAGCTAAGTATTTTGTAGAACAACGCTGATACAAAAATAAACTAATCGAAACTATTTCCTTCAGGCCTCCAAAGAATTCTAACTTTCTAAATAAAAATTGTTATCTTTTTACTTCCATTTACTTCCATTCTTTAATTACAGTCATTTTAGTAGAGATAGTAAAATATTTATATGTAGCTGTATGCAGAATATTGTTAATTCCAAAGCTGCATGTGTGAAAAGTGCATTCATATTAAACCTTTATTAAAGTTCATTCATAATAAGATTTTAAAAGCTTTATCAAAAACCAATAAGAAATCATTCATTTTCTTTTCTTTAGTGAAGATGCACTAAACAAATACACAAAAGACCAAAAAAAAAAAAAAGCTTTCTTATTACATTTAAAAAAAAAAATTTCAACCAAAATGCAGGACTTCTTGAGGAAGATTCACTGTCCAGAATCTCAACTGAGACATACAAGGTATTTCCATTAGATGATTTCACCAGCTGTGGACTCGAACACATGCATTATGAGAAATATTTCTAGTCGAAAAGAGGGACGGTAGCCAAGATAAAAGCAAATGGAGTGTCACTGACATTTTACAAAAATGCCTTCGAAAAAGCACTCAAGTTAATATCAATAAAAACAGTAACTGCATCTTTCCCACTGTGCACCCTCAGATATGAACCTGAGGCCAAATTAATGATTTTTCTGCATTATGAACCTGCTGGAAAACTTGCAGAAGCACATTTTGGATATACCAGCTGGTACCCCAGAAAAAAAAGTATGGTGGTACCTGGCATGTTACAATGCTCCGGCAGGTGCCCTTTCCTGCAGATCGATTAGCCCTAGCACTTTGGTCTGACTTGGCAGGCTCCAACCATCCTGCCTGTCCTCACAGAGACAGCATCCCACAGACACTGGGCAGAAATGCTAGACTCCTAGAAAGACCTTCACATCACTTCCTCACCAACAGACAGCGTTTCCAAGCAGCCTGCTTGCAGACTAAATTCAGGATGTCTGCACGCAAAAAAATAAGCAGAGACCTGGCCTTTAAAACCATTCTAGGGGATTGCTCAATTCAGGTAAGCATAGAACAAAGTCAGTAAAGTCTTAGGATATAGTGCCTCATCCTGCAAACACACCAACTGAAAGCTGCTACTCAGAAGAGTTATTTTATTATCTTTTTGAGCCTGTGCAATCATAAGCATTATTTTCTGGAGAAGCATGGAAAGATTTAAACCCTGAGTAGTACGTATGAAGGTGCTTAAATGGCAAGTTTAGTGTACGTTCTCACAGTCCATGTATTTGTAACTTCTGTTAACTGGAATACAACACTACGACTCTTCTGGAATACAACTACTATAAAGATGTTATTTCCCATTCTTTTCTGACGGGAGAGGAATACTATTGTAGTAATTGATCTTTATTTTATCACGTCATCAAATAATGATCCTATCATTTTGTATTTCTGTTATTCATTTCCATATTGAAGTCAGTGATTTTTCCTCCTCCTTTTCTTTCATGTTAACTTTTCTTTATTTTTTGTTTTTATAGAAGTCTAATACAGATTTGAAGTATAGTAGTTTCAGTGAACTACATTAGTCTATAAGTTTATTCAATTTGCATATATAAAAAAGTACTGCAGTTGGGTAATAACTACAGCAGTTGGGTGGTAACTACAGCTCTGCTGGATGCTCGTGCTGATTGCCAACTAGTTCACTTCAAACTTAGAAATTGATCTGCATTCTTTTGTAGATAACTTATTCAACCAATATTGATAACAAACATCATTGGAAATTTTTTAAACAAAGTAATTAACAATGGTTCTTCTAGCAAGTACTACTTAATCGAAACTTTAAATGTGTTTAGAATTAATTCTCCATTCCAAAACATTTCCAGATTTTCCAAATGTCACAGGCAGTTTCAAAATGAAAAATTTGGAAGTTTGGATTTAAACTGTGTTCATTAAGAAATTACATTTGTATAAAGTAAGAGGTTTAAATAAAACAAAATTTCTTCAGAATTACTGGACTGAAACACTAATTATTTGCCATGCTTTGGTAAATAAATTTTTTTTACCCTTTTAATTTAAGCTAGAAAAAGCTTCAAAATACCAAAAATTCTATTACAAAATGAAAATTTACTGCTGCTCAATTGTTTTTTTAATACTTATGGAAATTATTTCCCAAAATACTTATTTAAGAAATAAAATATACATAATACTTTGTCATACTTCATAAAAGTCTAGCATCCTAAAGCAACTATGCTAAATTAGACATGAATTTAAAATGAGTATTAAAAAAATTGTGAATGCCATCAAAATTTATGACTATCCTTGAGTAGCATACATAGAAGGAATACACTGGAATATATTTCAGAACCAAATTTGGCCCTGGCTTCACAGTCTATGTATCATTTATTTGCCTGCACTTGTACCTCCTTTATTACTTGAGAGTACCTATAACCAGGTAAAGAGAAGTACAAAATGTGTCTCCAGACAGAAGCCACATTCTTGAAATGAATGCTATGGAAATATGTATATCTTCAGACCATCTACTTTTGTTTCTTTGCCACGTGATTAAAAACCACTTTCTCTTATAACTCCCTGAATTCAGAATGTCTTTGCCAGTTATCCCCTGAATTGACAGAAGAATGAGTCAGAAGAAAAATCTGGCCTTTAGCTTTCATGCACTTTATTTTAAACTAAGACACTTTACATACTATTCACAGGGAACGGCAGAAATAAGGCATACAGATAAGATTAACTAAATATACAATGACCAAATGGGCAGAATTCTCGCTAATATAATTAACATGAACATCATTAGTGCTTGTATGATGAGTATCTCTAGAGGCCAGGATCCCATTTTGTTAAGCAACGTACAGAGCTAATGGCTGCTGTCTAAAAGAACAGTGTGAAGTTTGCCCAGTTGAAGACTGCGGATATTTACGGTAAATGGGGAAAATCAAACCAAATCAGAAGTTGTGTGCCTGATTACCACTAGTTTACTAAGCTTCCCCTTTTCTCTAAATAGATTAAAGAATCTATAAACATATAGGAAAATTCTGTGCTTGTTAAAGCTGCTGCAATATTTTTGACAGACACTGATAGGGCTGGAATTTCAACCAGTTAAGATAAACTGTAGATTCAAGAAGTCACTGAGGTAATGGTGCAATACTTGCTATTTAGCAGCTGGTGAGATTTCTGTTATTAAAAAAAATTCTTGCTTTTTTCCTTTCTTTTTTTTTTCTTTTTTTTTCTCAACAGGATGATGACGTAAGGGAAAGTCAGTTTAGTTTTACAGCATATGGAATGGGCCCATGTCTGCAAGCAAAAGATGGAGTGACACAAAAGGGGCCAAATAATCCCGCTCAAGCTGCACCAAAAAGCCCTGATGAGATGAGAAAGGTATTCATTGACCGGGCCAAGAAGATAGACACAATATCCAGAGCTTGTTTCCCATTAGCTTTTCTGATTTTCAATATTTTTTATTGGGTAATTTACAAAATCATCAGGCATGAGGACATTCACCAATAACAAGATTAAGGCTTTCTGTTAGAAATGCACATCAGAGGAGTGATTAGGGGAGTTAAAAGCATTGAGGGGGGGAAAAAAAGATCCTGCATGGTCTGCAATGCCCCGTCACAGTGGTATGGAAGAATGACACCCAGAGAAGATACATCTGCTATTGCAAACTTTTTGTGTCAAACTAAATATTAACTTTTTCATTGTAAATCACTCTCTACTAAAGCTTTACTGCCAAGTATTTATACATATTGTTACATAGTAGTATAATTGTACAGGTCTCTCTGATGTTCCTTAATTTTTTTAATTCTGGTGTATTTTTAATTCAAAAAATGGATCCAGAATACCCTAGGTAAATCCCACAGTATTACAGAATAGATTAGTATTTGTAACCTTTCTTTCAATTTTACAAGATAATGACAGATTACTGATTTGAGATTACAGTTTTAAGGACTTTTTCTTGTCTTGAGGACAGTACCAGTGATTTTGAAATGAGCACATTTGACACATTTAAGTTACATAATTTATTCAATGTACTTCATATTACCGTTCTCCTGGAAGGTGTATGTTGAAATAACCTCAGACAACACAAGGTATCTACAGCCTAATAGTCTGCATATCATATGGGAAATACATAAAAATTTGTAAAGTACTGATTCCTGCAAAGGATTTTTTTTTCTTTTAATTACCCACACTTTGATAATTGAAACTTATAATATTTTTTAATCCTTTTTATATTTTTGAAGGGGTTCTTTTCTCAATTGATATAACTCATACAGCTTTTGAGATAGACAAACTACATCAAAATTTTGCAATGCTTTATTTTGATTCAGTACAAAGAGATCTTGGACCAAAACTAAAAGCAAATATTCAACTGCTTCACTGAAACATTTGGAGGACGAGTACAGCTGTTTATGCATATTTATCTCCTACATGTTACATAAATACAGGAAGTTTAATTTATTAATATATCAAGTTTTCTGTCTCATTCTTTGAAGTATATTGATATGACTTATATACTGGTTAAGAAGCACACAACTTTGGAAAAATCTGCAGCTCTTCTAAAACACAGAAAAGGAGCTGGATGGTCTTTTACATTTATTGTACTTCACATTAATAAATAGGAGAGCAACTATTAAAACTCTTAGAGAAATTTTCCCTGTTTACGATTAAATAAGTCATATTAGTTGCTTCTTTGAATTATAACACAATAGATCACATTTATGGCATAGCTTGTAGGCAAGAGTGTTTACTGTTGCCAATCTTGTCTATTGAAAAACAAAAAATGCTACAATATGGAAATCTGACATTTAGAATTACTAGATACTTTAAGTCCAGTAGCAGAGGTTGTTTCTCATTGCAAAATATTTTTATTTTGAATATATTTTAAATTTTTGGTTTGTTGTTGTTCAGAATGTATATACAAAAGCAAAATACAGCTGAAGGCAGACATCTGGTGCACTGCCAAAGGCATGGTGCATATGAAGTAACAAGCAATGTAACTTTGCAGTGAGGATTATAACATAGCAACCTTGGGTTTCGTTGGGTTTGTTGTTTTCCCCCAAGGATTAGTTAGAGAGATTCTAAAATAGTAGCTCTCAGATTTTGTTCATCTGTGCCAGAAAGAAGATGTATAATCCTCCTTTATTTTAAAACAGTATTTTTTTAATAGTTTTGCTTCATTTATGATTTGAAAAGAATTCAGTTCTCTTTAAACAATTATTGTTTGCTGAGGTCATGTCTTGGTTTTGTTGATTTCCTTATGTGCATGTTCCAAAAAATCCTGTTCACTCATGAAGGTGCTCATCTGTGTGTGGGGGTACCATGAACTAATGGCTGACATTTCAGTTGGGTTATATGCATCTCTCTCAAAGTTGTCATTAGCTGTATTGTATGAAAAGGAATGTTAACTCGCTTCTGCTATCAGCGAAGTCAACAGTATTGTGTTTAAGGACTGTTTGAAGTACTGGATCCATAATCAAGAGACAATCGTAAAAAATTACATTATCTTTCAGGCTCATCTCTCTTCTTTCCTCCTAAAATAGCTGACTTGCATTCGATAAAGAATTCTTAACTGAAGGGGTAAGTGCATAAAAAAATGCTGGTCATATCAGAATAACTCCTAGTTATTCTAGTTTATAACACTTGAGTACCTGGTTCACATTGCCTCTTTCCCAATCATTCAATAGTCTGTTGCTCTCGCACATGTAGTACTACCTTATTTTGAAAACATTAACAAATGTGAGTGATGCAGAGCTGAACAAATTTAGCCCTAATTTCTTTCTTTACTCTTTAAGGCAGAAAAGGTCTATGCTCTCAAATAGAGAAATCAGACAGGAAATCTTGAAAGTGATAAAAGAGAGATTGGATTACAACACTGGCAAAATGTCACAGGGACTCAGAAGGAATGTATACTGTTAAGCAAGAAGGACAAGATCCTTCATTCATATATGAACCTATTACCTCAGTGAGGGGGAATAATCCTTGTGTCACATTTCTCTTTGACTAGAGTATGCTAATCTAAGGAAAAATTACAGCATATAGCATATATAACGTAAAAAGCATATATCTATATTATAATTCTTTTCCGACCTCCCTAATGGATTGTTACCTATATGTTCTATTTAAAATAAATGAGATCTGTAGGTTTAATGACTGGACCTAGTGCCTAGTGTTGCCTCTCAGGATGACTTTCTTCAGCCATGCTCTATGGTGAGAGACAAGAAGAGGGTCTCAGACCTGGCCAATGGAAAGTATATCCCTTCCTCTATGTAGTTATATTTCTCTTTCATAGGCCATTACATTGGGAAGTTGAGCATACCCTACTTCTATACAGAAAATGTACATATAATGCTCAGTCTTCTAACAGAGCACATTGAAGATAAAGAGAATTAAATATGTTTAAAACATCATTATGAAAACTCTACAGTGTTGCTGGAACATTTTTTTTATTTAGCAATCCATTAATAACAAAAGTATTTCAAACAGAGGGCAAAAGCAAAAAATGGTTCCATGATGATTTCAAATGCACAGAACATTTGGCATGTCATTCTGCTGCCCTCAGGTAAGTAAAGATTTTCTATTGCTATGTAATGGAACAAAGATCTCTCCTGAACTGATGACTTTGTATTTTTTTACTGGAACCATAACATTTGCCAAAGTAACAGAAGCCTCTGGAGTCCACTAGATAATGTGTTTTTCAAAAGAAAGCAGCTCTTAAAATTTAAATTTCATTTAGATTATTCCTAAATGACTTAGTGTAAAGTCACATGGTAAAGAAAGAGAGAAATGTTATTTGAGATGACAAGAAACTTCAAGGCACAAATGCCTGCTATTCACCACTGACTAGGGGAAAAGTCCAAAAATGCCAGCAGGCATGCCAGCCCTCTGTACAAAGCTAGAATCAACAGCTACTGTCATCAGCTAAGATTAGCGTGGGAGATGATTCTTTTGTAACTGTATAATGAAGTAGCAGGGAATAACATTAAGAGGATACAAGAATTGAAAGCTACTCTGCAGTATTTATCAGACTGCAGTATTTATGCTACAGTCCTGTGAAAGAGGCAGTGGAGAGGCAGAAAAATCCTCATCAAGGAAATAATGCTTGAGGTAGATGCAACCTAGCAGGGCTTCTCCTACATCTAAAAAAGACCCCATTCATTAGGCTAAAGTAGATAACTACCTCACCTCACTATCACTGAACCTGGGCTCTGCAGGGTACAGGTCCTTAGCAAAGCCACACAAGAAGGCTTCTTGTAAGCACAACCCCTATGTGACAGGCTAATGCAGCTTTGCCCCAATTCGTTATTCACCATAGGTGCAGACTCTGTGCTGCTCAGGTCATGTTTTTGTGGTCTCTGTAGACCAGCCCTATACTTCAAAAATAAAATACTGGCACTAGAAGATCATTGCAATACAATGAAAACAGAGGGAGAAACTGCAGGATCTGGAGGAATACTCCAGTAACACAGCTACCAAAGAGCTGACACAGACACCATAAAGGGGAAAGAAGGAAGCATGAGGCATCCTTACTACTTTTCCCCATCCCCCAGTATCCTCTCCATAGGTACACTTGTTCAGGTGGAAGCAGTAGCTGCAGGGGGAAACAATTTATGACAACTGCTGCAAACTATATATTCTCTTGGGAAAGTAGTTTCTACCTGTGCAGATAGATAATTGACATCCACACCATCCGCTTACTTAATGGAAAAAGCGGAGCAGGAAGGTACAGGATGAAAAGCATGGGCTGTACATAGCATAAGAGGGACCACAGGGAGAGAGAAAGCCCAAAGCAGTACCTGGAACCTCTCCTATGACTGTCTTTTCTTCCTGCACTAAAGAGAGAGCTGTGTCCAAATCCATGTCACCCCTCGTAAGGCCAAAAAATTCAGGACCTTGAAAGAGGATGAGAAAGGTCCCTTAGAGGTGCAGTAGATGTACTCAGCTACCACAGTACCAAACTCCTGCTTAAATTCTGAATAGCAAAATGCATTTTATTTTTAAAACCATATTCAAATATCAACAAAATAGGCTTGCATGGTTAGAGGGCTGGCTTTTTTCTCTATAATGCTGATAAATTAGAGGAGGCTTGAAGGAGAAAGGGCAGAAGGGGTACTAGTGTTTTACTGTTTAGAATTTAGCTATTTTAACACCAAAATAAAGCACATTCTACTTTCAAGGAGTTTTGACAGCAAACACTAGTCTTCAAGCAGGTTAGTGGAATTCAGGAAGAACATGAGGTTTAATTATTTTTTCAGCTCAGTCGTATATTGGTTTTCTTTGGATTCTCTTTATTAATGTTTGTTCCAAAACCTTTTTATAGGCTGCTTTATAAAGAATCCTTTGTGATGTGTGAGAGATGATTCTGTTTACTCACTAGAAAGACTTCTATTTAGGCAATTTAGATGTGCACTTTACATTTAAGGAGTAAGGTATTGCTTCCACTTTGTACTATAACCCCTTACAGAACTGTAGGTTGATAATGTAGATAAAAATAGAATATAATAAACTGT